CAAAGGACTTGAATAGACATTTCTCCAAAGAAGAAACAGAAATGGCCAGTAAGCATATGAAAAGATATCAACATCATTAGTCATTAGGGAAATGCAAATCAAAATCACCATGTGATACCACTTCACACTCATTAAAATGGCTATCATTAAACACACACACACACACACACACACACACACAAACATATGCAAAGAGAACCAGACTGGGTGTGATGGCTTAGGCTTGTAATCCCAGGACCTTTGGAGGCCAAGGTGGGAGGATCACCAGGAGTTTGAGACCAGCTTGGGCAACATAGCAAGGCCCTGTTTCTACAAAATAATGATAATAATTGTGGGCAAAGACATAGAGAAATGGAAAGTGTGCATTACACCATGATCAAATGAAATTTATTCCAGGTATAAAAGATTGGCTCACATTTGAAAATCAACTAATGTAATCTACCATATCTATAGGCTAATGAAGAAAAATCACTTGATCATATCAATTGACAAGGAAAAAACATTTGAGAAAAATCCAGCACCCATTCATAATAAACTCTTGGCCAACTAGGAATAGAGAGAAACTTCCTCAGCTTGATTAAGGACATATACAAAATCCTACAGCTAACATCGTAATTAATGGTGAGAAACTAGATGCTTTTCCCCAAGAGAAGGAACAAGGCACAACCCCTCTCACCACTCCTATTCAACACTGTACAGGAAGTCCTAGCTAGTGCAATAAGACAAGAAAAGGAAATAAAAGGTATACAGATTGGAGAGGTAAAATAAAACTGTCTTTGTTCACAGATGACATGATTCTCTATGTAGAAAATCACAAAAAATTAGTTTAAAAAGAACAAACCCAAACAAACGAATGAACAAAAAAACCCTCCTGGAAGTAATTAGTGATTACAGCAAGGTTGCAGGACACAAAGTTAATATATAAAAGTCAATTACGTTCCTTTATACCAGCAATGAAGAATTGAAATTTGAAATTTAAAACACAATAACATTATCATTTACATTAACGTCAAAAAAATAAAATAGGTATAAATCTAACAAAATATGTAAAGGATCTATATGTGGAAAACTAGAAAATGCTGATGAAAAGAATTGAAGTAGATCTAAATAAATAGAGATTCTATATTCATGAATTGGAAGACTACTATTAAGACATCAATTTTTCCCAACTTCATCTATAGATTCAATGCAATCCTAATGAAAATCCCATCAAGATATTTTGTTGATTTTGACAAACTGATTCTAAAGTTTACATGGAAACCCAAAAACTCAGAATAGGCAATACAATACTGGAAAAGGAGAACAAAGTTCAATGACTGACATTACCTGACTTCAAAATTTACTGTAAAGATTAAGACAGTGTGCTTTTGGTGAAAGAAAAGACACATAGATAAGTGTAACAGAATAGAGCATCCAGAAGTGCCCATACAAATATAGCGAACTGATCTTTGACAAAGGAGGAAAGGCAATTCAATAGAGAAAGGATAGTTTTTCAACAAATGGTACAGGAGCAATTGGACATCCATATACCAAAAACGAGAGATAAAAAAAGAATCTAGACACAGACTATATATATTTCACAAAATTAACTCAAAATTAATCATAGACCTAAATTTAAAATTTGAAACTATGAAACTTCTAGAGAAAAATAGGAGAAAATCTAGGTGACAATTGGGTTTGACAATGAGTTTTTTGTTGCTTTATTTATTTAGGAAAGCCTTCACTCAGAGACAATGAGTTTTTAGATACAACAACGAAAGTGTGATCCATGATCAAAAAATTGATAAGTTAGAATATTAAAATGAAAAAATTCTGCTCTGGAAAGACACTGTTAGGAGATTGAAAAGATATTTCGCAGACTGTGAGAAAATATTTGCAAAGTACATATCTGATAAAGGATTTGTACCCCAAATATACAAAAACAAACTCTTGAAACTCAACAAGTAAACAAATGACCCAATTAAAAAATGGGAAAGCCATCAGAACAGATAACTCACCAAAGAAGATATAGGGATGGCAAATAAGCATAAGAAAAGGTGCTCAACATCACTTGTCAGTAGGGAATTGCAAGTTAAAACAACAATAAATTGTTTACTCATTGTACTCATTACTATGCACTCATTAGAATGGTTAAAAAAAAAAACCCTGACAATACTAATTCTGGTGATGATGGGGGAGGGAGGAAGAACTCTCATTAATGACTGGTAGGAACGTAAAATGATACAGCCACTTTGGAAAATAGTTTGGCAGTTTCTTACAAAGCTAAACACTGTCTTACTTGCGATCCAGCAATAACATTCCTGGGTATTTACCCAAACAATTCAAAAACTTATGTCCAGGCCGGGCGCGGTGGCTCACGCCTGTACTCCTAGCACTCTGGGAGGCTGAGGTGGGTGGATCGCTCAAGGTCAGGAGTTCAAGACCAGCCTGAATAAGAGCGAGAC